TGGGCGGGGTAGCCGAATGGGCTAAAGCGTGTGCACTGCACCGCCGTTGCCTGGCAACCTGACATATGAATACAAAGATATAAAAATAGTCACGAGTTCGCGTCCCGGTGCCGGGGGAGTCTTTTAAATCCCCGCCCACACTCCCTGGCCCGGGAAAATCCCGTATAGCCTTAACGGCGAGGAAGGGAAGGACCCAAAAAAAAAAAAAAAAAAAAAAAAAAAAAAAAAAAAAAAAAAAAAAAAAAAAAAAAAAAAAAAAAAAAAAAAAAAAAAAAAAAAAAAGAGTGTTAAGGTTGAATTGCTTTTGTTCGATTCAATTCAAGTAAAATAAGAGGATTGAGTTTTTGGATCGATAAATATGATCGAAATTTACATATACGTATAAGTATATCTCTCTATTACATAAACAAGTTTTTAGTGACTGTCATATTTTATTTTATTACAGCTCTCCTATTAGCTCTATAATTAGCACTAATTGCACATTTGTTCATTTAATTACATGTGTGTTGAACTCCTGTGACCTCCTACTCTTCTAATACAAAAGAAAAATTACTATGCCAAACATTTGTATGGGAAATGTTTTCATCTATCTGGTGGTTTTACCTAGGTGACACCGGTTATTTTTCGACCTATACATTTTCCCCTTGAATTCAATATATTATATATATCAAATATTATATTGCGATATAATTATAATTATTATGAAATAGAAAAGGAAGCACAATATAACGTACAATAAAAATATTAGAAAGAACAGCCTCAAATCGTCACAACCTTTTCAGTTTGGGTATAATGAGTTTTAGAATTTATTCTTCGATTACTTTTGAAAACGTTATCATTATCTCATGAAAATAACATTTTATATATTGTATCGGCATTGATGATCGAACTTCATTTTACAATAAAGGTGAAAAGAAATGGAAAATTCTCGCAGTAATAATTTTTTCTCTCCTGAAATGGATCCAAGTGTTAATAGGTTCTGGTCAGGTCATTCCTGAGCAATAATTGCCTCGGAGTAAACTCTTAAAAGGGAGCGTTTGCAGTTTTATTGCCTGGTCTCAAAGAAAATGGAAAGTATAATTCAGCTCCTCACTGCTCACCTCTTCTACCCTCCTCCCCTCTCTAGTTTAATCTAAACCGCTTAGTTAGTATTTTTTTTAAACCATTATCTTTTTAATTGCTTTTTAAAAATTTTAATTTTCATTTATCATAAGAGAAGCACATATATTCTTTCCTTTTGTTTCATATTCTTCCGTTTCTTTCTCCATGTTTCATTACTTGTTACATTTAATACCGTAAATCCTAATTAATTTCTGGTTCTGACTAGCACTGGAAAAGTATAATATTCCTCATTTATTCAAAAAAGTATTACTTTCATGATATTATTATTTTAACGGTATGGTCTTGCGGAATCCTTTCGTTTGGCCAGTCCTGAAGAAGGCCTTAACTTTGGGCCGAAACGTCGGCAAAAATAAAAGTAATTATACTTATTTATTTTTAGAATTTTTTTTTTTTTACTAATCACCCCAACCATTCTTCTCTCTAAAAACGTTTAAAGTTGTTTAATCCAAACTTGATTAATGTGTGCTATATTGTGATGTGCAAATATTACATTTGAATTATTTTATTTGGTCTGTTTCTATTTTAAATTCGATTATATATATATATATATACATATAAATATGACAAATTTTACACCTGTTTTATATATCAACATGTATGCACATAGTGCTCGGTAAATAATGGAATTATTTGAGGATTGTAGTAGTAGACTTCTAAGATAAATATTAGACTTGAAGAGCACCAAGAAAATTCAGAATTTGGTCTTATAGGTAGTATTGATAGTAGTATCGTAGTATCGATAGTATCGATTATAGGTAGAAAATGCATTTAAATTTTTTTTTTATTTTTGGTAGAAAACGATGAAAGAAAGAATGAAAATAATTACTGATAGTAGCATAGCGAAATGACAAAATTATCTTTGAAAATAAATAAAATTTCTTTTGATCCATTTTAAGGAGGCTTTTAAGCAGCTTTGCAACGCTATGTTTTTATCTCTAAGAATTTTCTAACAACAGGTTTCTAATCAGTTTCCTGCTGTGCTTTAGCTTTATGTGTTTATTGAAATTTGTTACAGAATAAGCTGCAGTTTGCTTCCAGTTTTGTAAAAAAAATGTTTAAAGATTGGAAATCCTGTATTTTTAATGTACCATTGTTTTCATTCAAAATTAATACAAACGTTTGGTTTACTACAGAAGGGCACAAAATAAATTAATTAAATACAGTTTTTATATATATATTGATATATTTCTGCTTTGTTAAAATGATTTTCTACTATTACATAATAATAATACAATATGAACTTATTACTTGTAGAAAAATAATCACAGAAATGATTTTTTTTAGTTTTTCTTCTTTGCTTTATTTTGAAAGGAAGATTTTTATCTCAGTTTCGAGATATAATCCTCTTTTGCTACTCCATCTCCATCCGGATCAGAAAGTGTAAAAATTTATAATCGAGTCGATCGAGCTGAAATAGGACATAAATATTCCATTTGGCTAATGGTTGTCGGAAACTTTTAGATATGAGACTAAAGTATAATGAAGGAAGATCTAGAATTTTAAACTAATATATACAATATTTTAATTTTACTAGCTGGCAAAGAAAAATTAGCGTTAAATAATAAAAATAAATGTTATTACTTGTTTAATTATCAATTATCTGATTAAGAACAGTGACCTTGGGGCATCTATCGTTAGCCTATTTTCTCAATTATTTTTTAGATGCTTAACTTTGTGTATATATTACACATCTTTTTTGCGTTGTATTTTCCCGGAATGTACTCTCCTATTATACTCTATTTTCTCTGGGAAGCATTCATTCATAAATGAAAGAATAACAGTACTTCACACTTTTTTATTTATTTTAATATTGATGAAATTAGACGATACATGACGATACTCATTTTTTTTTTTTTTTTTTTTTTTTTTATGTTCTAGGAAGTCTAAAAAGTTTTATATATATATATATATAGGTAGCAAAATAATATATCCTTATTTCATTTTAATTTTGTTAGTTATTTCATAAGATGATATTAGAAAAAAAGACGTGCAGTAAAAATTATTGTGAAATATTTCACTGTGATGTTAAGTAACTTTATGAAATATATATCCCTGAAACTTCACCTCATAAAAATATATTATATAGAATTTCTTGTTTTGTTAACTACAAAATCAAGATGTAAAATCCATTACTAAATATAAAATTATGTGTAGTTAAAGAAAGGAAATTTTAGATTAAAGTTTATTTATTTTTTTCCAGCATAACATATTTCTTCATAAAATCAATGTAAATGGAATGTACTAATCAATCTGAACACATCATTTTTTTTCTTGCAATGTTATACTACAATATGTATACCTGCGGTAGACGCAATGTCTCTAGTTTTTTATTTATTGATTTATTTTTATTAAAAAATAATTCATTCTGCCACACTTAAAGGCAATAAGTGTTAAAACCATGTGTTACACATTCATACCATATACACAATAAGACAAAAACAAACATGAAAAAAAAATTTAATGTATCTAGTTACTACGTCTGTTTTGGAATGTTCACACGAGATTGCTTTATTTTTTTTTGTGTCCATATATATATATAAACTTAACTATTTAATTGAGAATAAGTTAATTATTATTTAATAAACTATTGAATGTTCATTTCTTCTGTTTATTGACGTTTCGATCCCGGTATTTTCTTTTTATTAGTCAACCATGGGATCCTCTTCAAAGCTAGAATTTTAAACAATAGAGCTTCGATCAGGCCTGGGACACACCGACAGTCTCAGCACCGTCCACTAGCACATATATTAAGCTACTGAGCTACTGATCGAAGCTCAATTTTTTAAATTCTAGCTTTGAAGAGGATCCCATGGTTGACTAATAAAAAGAAAATACCGGATAAACAGAAGAAATGAACATTCAATAGTTTATTAAATTAGTAATTAAGTGATCTTATTCCCAATTAAATAGTTACGTTTAAATTTAATACTCAAAGGTCGATTAAGGAAAATTTGTAAATATATATATATATATTAGCGAATCATTGTATAATTTGAAGCGTAGTTGTTTTCTGGAAAGGACTCAAGGGTTTGGGTTTTGGAATCTTCCAGTTATAAACAAATAATCAATTGAAGCTTCCTTTTATGTTCTTTTTCTGTTGGTAATACAGACCTTGTCGATCTTTTGTCGGCTATTTCTTTCCATTTATCTGCACGCAGCTCTATTGCATCTTTGTTGATTATATTTATCCATCTGCTTTTTGGCACGTTGTCTTTTACATGCTATTGAGGCATTCATTGTTACGTAGATGCTTGTAGATGGATTGCTACGAGCTACATGCCTCGCACATCTTACCTTCCGTGCCTTCATGTGATATTAATTGAACAATTTCGGGAAGCAGTTCTTTACTGGTCTTTTTTCTCCATGTTTTAGTATTCTGATCCCAGATTGCTTCGGTCCAGGTCTCACGGCCATATAATAGAACTGGCTTTATCATAGCATTGTATTCCCTTGTAGCATTGTATTCAAGGTTTAAATACATTTGAAAGTGAAGAAGAAATCTCTGTTTGCGCTAGTTCTGCCCGTTGCTCATTCATTGAGATTATTGTGGAGCCGAGGTATTTGATTATAGCGAATTTATTGATTTGAAGATATCCATTGTTGATAGGAATGCTGTCGATGTATTTGGGAGGCATTGCTTATTAAATTTAAGTATTTCGCTCTTCTGACGTTTCTTTGAAACAGTTGTTTACCCGACACCACGTATCAGATTTTATATATTATATTATTATTTTAACATTTTTTATGAGGTTTTATGATAAAACAAATTAATGTAATGTATTAAATTAATTATTTGTTAAAGGATAATAATCCTCGTGAGACCGCTCATTTCCATACCAGCCGGTCAATTTATTTTCCATTAACTAGATACTGACTGATTATACCGTGGGAAGTATTTTTCGCTCCTTGGCTAACAAGAGTGGAGTCCGTTTCGACACCGGCGGACCCCCGAGGTTGAGCTCATGGAGGATATTGCCCGGGCGGGATGATGGCCGAGCTGAGGTGAGAGTGTACCATCCCCAGCGAGGAGTCAGATTTCCTGATTGCGGATTCGTGTTGCCCCGACACCGTGGTTTGCCTGAGTAAATAGATAGCGGATGATTATAGGCCTTGGTTTCCACTGACGAGGCTCAATCACCGGCCGAATTAGGACAAAACCCAGGCTTGTTACCGCCAGTCAGCTGCCTTCCCCCCGGCAAGTGACCCCTTCATTATATTTTACCAACCCGATCTTGCTAATTACAACTCTACAATCTGCATCCAATCCCGGATGAGATCATCCTTAATTGAGGAGGGTTTTTTTTTTCGGACGATTTAGGATGTGAAACAAAAATTCTTAAGTAACTATTTCCTTTTCGCATGTCTGAAATATGGTTCATGGTACCCATAACCTCTCTTAAAAATATGATTTAATTGTAATTAACTAGTTGGTCCGTGCGGATAATTCGCATTTGTTAGTAAACAAATGACAAAATAATAAGGATGACAATTAGTCAAGTAGTGCAGTCAAATATTTGTTTATTAAGTTTACCGACGTTTCGATGCAAACATGTGTGTCATCATCAGGGCGATGGTTTGAACTCAACAAGAGCTCAACTAATAAAAATATAAGTTAATTGTTCAGATTAAATTAGTTAATTGCTCTGATGAAGACCCACATGATCGAAATTCGACGTCTGAACAAAATTTATTTTTATATCGAGTTCCTATTTTTATGCCATTGCATATATCTGTCATCTTCTAGATTTGATTTTTCTTTCTTTATTGATTTTACAAAATCAGTTTTAATAGTAAATTCAATCTATTCCACTAGCGAAATCAGGATTTCATTTTGGGGAGCTCCAGCCTGAAAAACTTTTTTTTTTTTAAATATATTCATAATTATTTTGGAAGAAAAAGAAAAAACTTACTACCTATAAGAAATGGCGTTGAAGTGATTCTTGAATTCCTATTAAATGTAATTACACGAACAATAATACTTTTAAAGGAAGGAGATGGTCCGGGGTGGCGGTCATAAGTAGGCTAAATAGTGGCAAAACTATTATATTAAAAGCCAACGTTTCGGCCAACGTGCAGGTCTTCTTCAGGGAGTTCTAAGTGAAATTCCTAGCTAAACACACCTCCCTGAAGAAGACCTACAAAGTGGGATCGAAACGTCGGCTTTTAATAAAATAGTTTTGCTACTATTTAGCCTATTTATGACCGCCACCCCGGATCACCTCCTTCCTTTATAATGCAACGGTCAACTATTCAATATTCAACAATACTTTTAGATATTTTTTTAAACTATTGTTTTCATGATACATGATAATATTTTACCATTTTGGGGTTAGGAGGAGGGCTTCAGCCCGGAAGGTCCTCCTGTACATTCGCCTGTGATCTATTGGATAAATACACAAATGCGTTGTCATTAGTTGCGTTGTCGAATATTAAATAATGATCTCGTTTTATAGATTGTTAAATCGATTTGAAAAAAAACATTTTTTTTTTTTCCAATGATAGTCAATGTAACTTGATTCATTTAAAGACTTTAATTAGTCCTAGTTTGTGAAATAGCACCTCACACTAAGAAAGTTCACTATCTTCTAAACTTATATTTGAATTTGTCTCTTTCATCTAGAACTGTGAAATGAATTTTATTTCTGAATGGTATGCAAGTAATCTTGATGTTATACTAAATATTAAAATGTTTTTAGGTTGGTATTAACTTATGAAAGCTGTTTTAGTTTTCTTTTTGAGAGTTTACTTCGTATATTGATTTTGTCCACTTGTTATGCTTTGTTACTGTCAATTTAATTAGTTATGTTTTTCGATTAGATTTTAATTTTTTACTAACTTAAATGTCTGTAACCATGAAGAATGTGATTGACGCAGGTATGTCTTTATAAATTTTTACTTAATAGATAAATTATTAAATTCTTCGTCATATTGATTCTGTCTTGATGTTATAGTCCGTGGTACAGACCTCTTTTTATCAAATAATTAACATCCGCCTGAAATTTCGTAAATAGCTTCATCATCGTAACCTACAACTATTTTATTTACGAAAACTCTTGGAATCGGAGGTCTTACAATCTTACATTCTGGAGGTCGGCAAACATTGTTTATTTAATTGGGTAATAATAACTCGTATATACCCATTTGCTTTCCACTTGAATCGTAAGATAATTTGATCACAAAATTGAGAAAGAAGGTGCCGCACAAAAATATTGTGCCGTTTGGCCTAAACAACCTCGTTATTTTCACATTTTGGGGGTGTATGTCACGCCAAACGGCTCAATATTTTTGAAGGCCATCTTTTTTCTCGAGTTTATCCTCAAATTATCTTAAAATTTAAGTAGAAAGCAAATGGGTATTTTCGGGTTTTTGGTGCCTAATTAAATAGACATAGGTATGACTCTGTTTTTATGTTTTTTAATTTACTTATCTTTAGGTTATTTAGTTTTTTTATTGCACATAGTTTTTGATTATTATTTTACTTTTGTTAATTTTATATTTTTTGTATATACGGTGTGAATGTGTTCATATACCACTACAATTACTATCCACGTGAGAGATTATTATATTTCTAAATAAATAAAATTTAAAAAAAAAAATTAAATAGAGAAACTATGGCGATCTTCAGATTGAAACTCCTCCCTCCCCAATTCCGAGAATGTTCGTAAATAAAATAGTTGTAGGTTATGATCAGATGAAACTATTTACAAAGTTTCAGGCGGATGTTAATAATTCGACCAAAAGGGGTCTGTACCAAGGACTATTATTAAAACTTTATGTTTTTTTTTTTTATTATTCCAAATCAGTTGAATTTAGAGAACAATTTAAAAACATAATTTCAACTCTAGGTTGAGTTGATAGTATCTGATAATTCTTAACAATCTCATAATAATTAATAGTGCAATTGTTAGGCGAGGTTCTATCTTCATAATTTTTTTTCCATTAAATTTATCGCTTCTGGCCTATGACGTTCGACACTGTCATTAATTACTGACATAGGCTTGAAACTATTCAAATGGATTGTTAATTGGGTTAGCTCAATCGTATCCTCAAGTGGTGCCAATTGCATCGTATATTAGCTGAGATATTTCTGTGGGACCGCAATTTCGTCATACTGATTAGTTCTTCTATTTTTAGAAGGCTGACGACTGTGACGAACAATGTCGAGCAGATGGCAATTCACGAAATTGGTAATTACCGTTTCTGTTAAAGATCGTCGTTTGCTATTTAGATTGCTTTTGTTTCTTTTTTAATAGATACTTGCATTTAAAAAGGTGGAGTGCGTAATAATGAATCTCTTGTCTAAACAGATCCATGGTCCCATTTTATTTTTTACATACATGTAAGGACATTACGCATCTATTGCGCATTCTGTTTGCAGGATACGGAATATCAATGTCAACTATACTAAAATATTTTTCTACAATGAGGTAGGTATCATATGATTTACTTCCTTTAAATATAATGTTTATAATAGCATTTTTTTTTTTTTGTCCAATCAATGTTTGAAAGCAAAATATTTTTTAAATCTTTGCTAGTGAGTTCACGTTACAGATTATCCTTTTATTAAACTTTTAACACTCTTCTAAAACTCCGTGTAAGGCTTCATTTTCAAGTGGGACATTTTCGATCTGGAGATCGGCGAATTCGTAAATTTAATGTGATACGAAAACTCATCAACACTCATTTTCTTTCCATTTGAATCATAAGATAATTTGATCACAATGAGAGTCGCATTCGTGCCATATATACAATACAATAAAAGAAAATTATAACAAGCAAAACTGTAATAAAAAACAAGAAATGTAACATGGAGTTGAGTAAAATAATAACGAAAATCTTAAAAAGTAATAAGAAAAAATGAATAAAGAGATAAAACAACCTAACAGTCATACTTAACAAAATAAAAATGAATCGCAAAAATAGTTTTTGAACTTTTTTTCTCTGACGAAAATAGATTAAATTTTTATGAATTTTGTGCGATACATCATAAAACATTCACTTATGATCTCACTTTCATTAGAAATTGACTTTTTTTAAAATTAATAAACCTTAAGAATATTACTTTATAAACACAAACTTAATATAATTAATATAAATTATGGCAATTCTGAGCACAGTACAGTTTTGTTTTATAAAACTGAAACAAAAAGTTTTCCTTTTATTTTATACTGAAATTTCATTTAGTCTATATGTAAAAGTGATTATTTCCTATTCAATATATATATATATATATATATATATATATATATATATATATATTTCTATTTATTTATCTAAATATATGGAATACTCCTTCTAACAAACGGGTTTTCTTTAAATAGAATGATTTTTCTTTAAATGTTTAGTTATTTATTTCTTATTGCTTTTCGCTGTTTGCAGGACAGCATAACTATAGTTGATGAAAGATAAATTTAATTCAAGTTTGTCGTTATCCAGTTGGCCAAGTGTCTGGGGAAGCGTTTCAATCTGACTCGTTTATCTCTTGGAGGTGCCAGGATAAGATTACTCTTATTGCTCTGAAATATTTATCTCTTCCGTCGGCTCATTTTTAAAAATGGTTTTATTTTGCAATTCTTGATAATTGCAGGACTCTAAGATGGAATTCAGATGTTGCAAGAGAACCCACATGAATATTTTTCTCTTATTGCTGAGTTTATTTTTATACTCAAATAATTTTCGTTTATCTGATATTAATTTTTGAATGCATTTTTACTGTTGCTGATCAAAACAAAATATACAAAAATATTTTTTTAGACAAGCAAATTGTTTCTTGATCATCGATGATTTCCACTACCGTTTTGCGGTTTTATGGCCTGTTTACAATTACTTATTTCATTGCACAATTACCTGCTTGAGATTCCAACAGATATTAGCTTTTCTTCTGTTTAATTGTTTTTATATTTTTGTTAGTTTAGCATATTTCTTTTTAAAATAAAAATAGTTTAAAGTGGTATATTTTTCTGTAACGTAAACATGTCAATACCTCCACTACCAGCTTGTTAGAATCAAACGTTCAGCTATGTTTGTGTTTTCTGTATTTCGATAACGTGCAAAGCCGCCTTTAGACATCTAGAAACATATTTGGTTCCAGATTTGTCTTTTAAGTTCGTATGTAGTAAAAAATATAAGACGATTTTAAATAACACTAACGTATAATCCTATTTTGATAACATTTTCAGGCATTCTGTCGGATGTATATGGTGTTAGACATGAGTTGATTCTGTCGTGGAGGACGTGCTGTTATTCTTGATACCTTTAACTGGTGAGCTCTTGGAACAGACCGGGCCAACTGGCGGATGCTTTTGGAGTCGGCCCTGACTCTGTGACGGATCGTCGCGCCACTTAGGTTGCTGATGTGTCGGACATTAATTATATACACCGATAAACAATTGTTTGCCGTGTTCGCAAACATATTTTCTTTACACGCTCATATTGAGAAAAAAAAAAACTCATCCAAATTAGCATAAAGTTAAAGAAGAGAGTACAAACCATCGAGAATTAATTTCATATAGGTGTACATATTATACCTGAAAAATTGTTTGTGTGCAATTTTCTGAAAAATGTTGATAAATACATTTTTTTTTTCATTATGAACTCACCATAAATCGTGAGGAAGCTGTATTGTATTTTTATTGTTATGGATTGTTTCTTTTTTGTGCCTGTTATAGTAAATAATTTAACAACATATTTAAAGTGATTGTGAAATTTCGCAACACCAATTTTTTAAAAATTGTTAAGTGGCCTACAATATGGGTACGGGTACGTTTTGACTGAATATTCACGTTTTCAACTTTTCTTTAATACAAATCTATCAACTGGTAAAATTTGTATTAATGCTATTTAGGAATTAAATTAAGGAAACCAGATCTGATATCCTTTGTGAAAACAGCCCGCTTTAGATCGCTGGGATAATTAGAGAGAAGGCTAGAAACTTGGATCCCAAGATACTTGCTGTATAAAAAAATGGAGGGAAACGATACAAAAAAAGACCAAGAGTGAGATTTTTAGATGTCGTCGAGTTCTTGAGTTCTCAAGCTGCTTGAGGTAAAGAGATGGAGGACACGTGCAAAAGATTGAAATGGCTTGAAGTCTTAGAGGGGACTCAGGTCCTTGTAGGATCGTAAAGCCCAGCAGTAAGTAAGTAAAGTCCCCTAAGAATAATGTTTAGAAATTATCTACCTGACAAGATAACTACATAAACAATACTTGTTAATAAAATGTTAGCGAAAATCGTAATTACAGAAATAAATAATGTTAACATAGGCGCTATCGATATGTGGTAAGTGGCAAAACAGGAGTTGTTTTAAGTGATTCATGGACGAGGATTGACGCAATTTAAATTTAAAACATGCTTAGTACCAAAATAATTAAAGAAAATTGTTTGATTATTTGATAATTGTATAACAAAAATGTAAATTTAAAAAAAGATCTTCTCGAGTATTTTAAATTATTCTTTTCAACATAGACATCATAATAACAAATTATTTTGCTTTTTAGCTACAAAGAAGTTTCACAAAATTAGTTGTATTTCAAATATCAAATATTACTGTTGTAATCAATGGTCCCTGGAACCATTCTCTATAGCTTTGCTGACGACACAGGCGGATCTACGGGAAGGGCTTTCGGGATGAAGCCCCTCCCAGAATGGTAAAATATAATCATGTTTTACAGAAAAAAATCTTAAAAACTATCTCTTAAAATATTCTTGTTCGTTTAATTACATTTAATAGGACTTCAAGAACCACTTAAACACCATTTCATATAGGTAGTTAGTTTCTTCCTTTTTTTTCCCAATTAAATATCGTTATATGTATATGAAAAAAAAATCTTTCAGGCTGAAGTCCCCCCCCCCAAAATTAAATCCTGGATCCGCTAGTGGCTGACGATACGGCAATTCTTTCTTCTGACAAAAATCCCACTATCGCTTCAATAGCCCTTCAAATTCACCTCCACGACCTTGAAAAATGGTTTCACAAATGTAGAATTAAAGTCAACTCATGTTAGCTTCTCCCTGAAAAAGATCTCGTGTCCTGCTGTGACAATAGATAATAAGCCAATTCCCTCAAAACACATGTACCGTATCTCAGACTATACATGGACAAAAAAACTCACCTGGAACATTCACACTAAAATAAAAACTGACCAGACGATTCAAACAACTGCCACATCTTTTGGACTACAGATCTCCACTCAACTTACTAAACAAGCGACTAATCTACAGCACCATACTAAGACCTATTTGGACATACGGAGCAGAATTTTGGGGTTCCGCAAAACACATACACATAAACAAAATTCAAACCACACAATCCAAAATACTTCGTAAAATCGTCAATGCTCCTTGGTTTATTTCAAATCGCACCTTACACACAGTCATGAACATACCAAAAGTAAAATCCTACATACACATCATTTCATTCTTCTACTCTCCATCGTGCAAATCAACTCGTTCTATCTCTATCTTTCTCCCTGTTACCTGGCGAGCCTCAACGACGACTAAAAAGGCAGTGGCCTAGAGATCTTCTGCTGACAAGTTAAGAAAATATCAAGAATACAAGAAGATAGATAAATTCCAGTACATTTGCTTGATGCGTTACAACGCAGTGGCAAATTTAATGGAAAATAAATAAATAATATTTCAAATAAATTCATAAATTATAGATATATATTTATACCATCATTTTATTTTAATGTTGGGCATTATTGACGTACAGTATTTAAAGTTATGTTGTGCGGTAACATATAGGATGCCACCTTAAGCCCCTTTGAGTCCATATGATCGAATGGCCGTCCGTGTGTTATCTCCCTCCGTATTCGCTGGCGGGTAATCTAATACCAACCCGAGGCTTAGTTACAGGGCCTCAGACCCTTCAGAAAAGTAATGAGATCTCCCGGTCTCTTGTTCTCTTGGCGTCTTGTCACTTGGCCGATAGCCAGTCAGTACGCTAATGGTCATGCCCTTGACATAGAAGAAGTAGTTGTATTATTCAATTTATTCTTGGATCATATCTACATGTGGATTTGGAACTGTCATAGGGAAGGTAACGACTGTTATGGATCGTACAGCATTTTGAGCCTGAAAGGCCTTTCATCATTCTTCAACACTGCCTTAAAATTCTTATGTGGGTGGAGAATCTTTTTTTTTTATATATCGCTCATCTTAACAAAGCTACAATACAAACACATTGTAGCTTTCGGCTTATTAAAATTGTTGGACCACATTTACAAGAATTTCTAGAAAAGAAAATTTATATCATTACAATTTGTGAAGAGTCCTGGGTTCAGTGCTATGTAAGGAATTTCAGTTTCTTGATCAACGATTGTGCAAGATTTGATTGGCCGTGATCAGCTCAACCGCCATGGTAGTTCCTAATCAATTAATTAAGAGTATCCATTTTACAAAGGCTGGATTGTCCTCTGTAGGATCTCCCGACCAGGGTCGATACTCGGCCGATGAAGCAAATAATTACTTTTGCCGGATTAGAACCAGGACGTTAAGCTTTAGAAGTAAATGCCCATATCCAATGAGCCACTGAGAATAATTTATGTTCTATCACTTCAGCAAAATTGTACTTTTTCAAAGTACAATTTATAAAAAAAAGGAGGTTCATATACGGAACTCCAATCTTGATCTCTTTATACGAGTATTTCAAAATGCATGGACATCTGTAATCTTTAACTACTAAAGGCTTGTGCTATATACTACAAACTTTATAAACTGTGTGTGTATTATTTTCAAATACATCGGTTCCACACGGACTTGAATGAATGACCAACGGTCAGAAATAGACCAGTGTATAACTATCTTTCTTCTTCCATTCAAAAGTATTGAAATTCCGAAAAATATCAAGAAATCTAAAATTAGGAGTGTACGTACAATACAATGATAAAGAAAGTTCTAATGTATGGCTGTGTGACCTGGACACAAACCTGCTCCCTAGAAAAAAATAATGAAAGATTTGAGAAGAAAATTCTCCTCATGATAACCTGAGCGAGCTGGAATCAGATTACTAACACATGGAAAAAAGAACTGTTTATAGAAACTGGCCAATCAATACCTCATGATATGAAGGCATAGAGGTTAAGATGGGCGGTTATGTAGTTCGTCGCAAGCTGCTTGCAGATAACTGGAAAGAAATAGTCCAAGGCAGGCAGAGAAGGAACAGGCTTATTAAGGCGGCAAAAGATCTACATGGTATGTAATGCCAACTGTGGAAAAAAAAATGTGTATCACATTATACATTATTTTACATATTTCCTTCTCTTTTAGAATTGCCGAAATGGACTTACGAGGTTTTCCACATCTACCGTCGACATGTTTTTAATTATAAACATCATTAATTTTTAAATTGAGTGCATAAAAAATTTTGTTAAGTGGTTCGTTCCGTTTTATTACAGAAATCGTGATAGGCCAACGGAATGGCAGTAATATTAAATTCATTATTAATTCTGGAAGAAGAATTATTCCTTTATTATAATATTATAGGGAATGAATTTTAAGAACGAACAGATATAAATATTTACTAATCTATATAAAAATAGGAAGTATCTATTTACATTTTTTTTTGTGAACTGGTTAAATAGAAAGTGGATGAATAAGTGATTTAAAAGTAGGAAGAGTAATAGAGTCTCGGATCTAGGAAGAAATAAAATTCATTGGGGCGAGTATCAGAAATTAAAAAAGATGTGACGAAAGTTGCAGTTCGGTAGGCTTTTTTATATACATAAGACATCTAGGACTGCAATAAATAGATGATTTGAATTAAAGGAGGCCGGAGATGTATGATAAATGGACAGAGGGATTGGATAACTTGGAAGAGGAAGGGTGCCAGGAAGTACTCACAGCGACAGGAAGGAAAAAGCCACTTCAGCTCTACATAAAATCGTGCTACTGAAGCGTTCTTAAGGAACGCAAAGATGAATTATATACAGCAACTTATCAAACGTTATAGTTTTATCTGTAGTTCGCCAGAAATACCCTCATATACCGTTCAGTAGTGAGAAGGGGGAATGTTAAGAAAATAAGCAAGTGTCTACATACATGTAATATGGTTTCCACTCCTAATTAAGATAGAAGTTTGTTACGCACATGCCGGTTAGTTATTTCTGCACTCTTCCTTCGGAGAGCCATAACCGCTAGGTCTCTGCATAAATTAGTAAGTCACAAGAGTGATGCTGTATATCAGCTACCCTGTCCTATACCTTGTCGTTTGGTCCATATGAAATGGATGTGCGATCACTGACTTAGTTGAAGTCGCTTTAGGAAATGCCCTTTGAAGCCCTATCTGTTTAGATCTATGAGGAATAAATTTGAGTTTTTAAAGAATCGTTATTCTCAGTCTCAGGTTATAAAGCTCTAATGAGACAGTATGTGCCAAAAATAACTGCTGTTATTGTCCGATCACTTTGACTAACCATTCAGTTATACGACCCTAATATAAGTATACCCTAATTTATTTATTGCTAAGTGAATGCATCGCATTTAATTAAACATTTTATACTAATTTAGAAGTTATTTTTATGATTTAACTCAAGATATAAAAACTAGAAAACAGCGAAATAGCAGTTTTGCTGTTGTTTACATTGTTAGCTAAGCTTTAAAAAAAAATTGATTTTTATTATCTTTTGCAAAGAAAAGCTAGAAATTTTCCAATTGTTTTCTTTCGTTGACGGCCTTAAAATCATCCGAGGTATTACAAAATGTTGAACAGAAATATCCTATATGCGGAGAACCTATTAATGATCAGAAATTTCAAAAGGTGAGGCAATGATAATAGGGTCGGGAGGCAATATATTTATATTACTGTTTGCAATTTTTATTTTTAAATAATAACACTCATCCATATTAGACCATATATTCAACTTAATTTTCAAATTCTTAACCTAAATAATAAAATAATTATTAATGCTAGATTAAAGAAGACCGTGTAAGAATTGATGGAGGTCGCTGGTTCTCCTGCTTTGAATTAGTCTATGCGAATGCTATATAGTTTAGCAACGATAATACTTCTTTTTTAACTAATATATATATATATATATATATATATATATATATATATATATATATAATATTTAGCTGAAGTATTTTTATATATATTTTATTTATATATGCTATGATAGTCCCGGCAACTGTTTTGAATTAATAATGTGGTTATGTTTATTCTTCCATCAAGTTGTCTGTTGGATCTTCTTATTCGCTAGGAATGGGGGAACTTAATGCAACCGGCTGCCTAACTTTGAATAGAACAACAATAAAGTTTTCAGAAGATGGAAGGGGAGGGGGCATTAGGGTGGCTATCTTGTATCGCATTGGAGGAGGGACATTGTCTGCGGGGTCCAGTATTTCACAGCGCAATTGCTCCCATGTCATATTGGCCACTGAGCGCCTTATACGGCCAATGTAAGGGACCCTCCTTCTATTGTTTCCCTCCCGGCCGGTGCATGCTCCCTAATGCATTTCCACTTATTTTTATTACGTCATAAAGTCCTTATTCCTCTTATGAGCAATTATAGCCTCTTTCTTCTCCCGTCGGCAGGTTCTTACAAAACCATTGAAAGTGCTCGTGGAATGGGTTACGGTAAAGGATACATTTCATTTTAATGCAAAATGAAACTTAATAAGACATAGATGTCTTCACTGGTGAAGAATTCCTTTGACCAGTAGAATAGATATGGACCCATTTGAAGTAATTAAGATGACAGCAGCGGCATTAGACCAGTCTATGGTTTCTATCCTAAAGTATTCCAAACTACTGGAGTGGCAATGACGATCTTTGCGATGAATGTCATGCATAAGACGATATTTGTTTTAATTTATTTATCAGGAGCAATCCCAAGGGTTCATATTAAAACATTGAAGTACTTGGACGCTATTTAATGATTTGGTCAACTCTTTTTTTTTAAGTCAATAAAATTTCGTAAATCGTAAACGACAATTTATAATTCCATCTGTCCTTAACCATTATTATCCTGTGGTGATTTGTTCTATTGTTTATTTTTACTTTTTTTTCATGAGGTGAAAAAATAATCGTCCAATCGGTTGCATTAAATAATTAAATATAATGGTTGATGCTAAGAAGAACCTGCCCTGATTGTGGTAGAATTTGATCTGATTTGTCATAGAATATTAATCAAGTAGTGCGTGTTTGATTAAGGGTATGCAGTGTTCAGTGTGTGTATTATATATGGAGTGTTTAGTCATATAGGTACCAAAGTAGACACGCACTGTTTTTTTCAGTTCATAATAACTAATACTCTAGAAGAGTTCTAGTTATGATTGCAATTCAAATACCTGTTATTAATTTGATTTATAATAAAATATATTATTTATTTATTTTTAACTTTTAATTTCTTATTCACACCTGCCATAATGGTAATGAAAGCAGTGAATGTGTCGATTGTCGAAAAACATTATGGCATATAAGGCATGAGGGAAAGCAGTACCAAGGGGCACCTCCTCCTGGCATGATATCTACATTAGGCGAGGAGGTCCCACATCCAGCTTCTCTTCAGCCTCCTACAGACTCTATCTGGCATTTGCATAGTGGCCATCTCATTTATAAGTTTGTTAGGATGCATGCGTTTCATTTCGATTACTACCTTTTTTTATCCAAGTCTGTATTCGGATTTACCTTGAAGGGGTTAGTCGTTTTATTATTATTTTTCAAATGAAGTAACACTTATGGATTTTTAATAGGAAATAATATTTTATTTATAAGAAGATTTTTCCTTCCTTTCTCTCTCTCTCTCTCTCTCTCTCTCTCCCTCACTCCCTCTCTCTCTCTCCCTCTCCTTCTCCCTCTCCCTCTCCCTCACTCTCTCTCTCTCTCCCTCTCTCCCTCTCTCCCTCGCCCTCTCTCCCTCTCTTTCACTCTCTCTCTCTGTAATTTTTTATAAATTTATAATTGAACGTAAAGTTTATAATGCATTTATTGTTTGTTTTTTTATTATTTTTATTCTTTTACAAATAAATTTGTGCCTATAGTTACAGTAAGATAATGATGTGTTTAGATATTATTCATTATTTAAATACTCTGACATTTTATATTGTCAGATTTGTCTTTCCTTTGTTAGCAGAAACACAGCTTATTTTAAATTAGAACTCAATGTATTTTTTATTATTTTAATTTTTAAAAGTGTATGATTATATTTTTTTCTACTGTACATAGTTTTAAGTGATTTGTATATAGATTTTTTTTTGTATATAGCTTGTTTAACTAATATTTTCTTTACTTTCTCTTTTTTATTATTGTTTTATTTTATCCTGATGTAGTCTTTTAATTATTAGTACTATTTTGTTATTCTAAAGGGACTTTGTCCCAGAATAAAGTTATTTTATATTTCTATTTCTAAACAGACAAATTATGAACGTTTTCACATTGTAGCCACAAGAATTAACATTAATAAAGAGATATGATTATGTTATTTATAGTGATATTATAATTTAAGCTGTTATATTCATTATTTATTAATATAGAAAGCTTTGGAATACTGCCAACAAAAAAAAAAAAAAAAAAAAATACAGCTCCTTCCTTATAACCTGCAGATCGGAAACAGAAAGCTGAAACTGTACCGTTAGCTGGCAGTTTTGTTGACAGACGGCAAACAAACAGAAAATGAGATCGAACTTTCACTGGAGGCTCCAGCCCGGAGACCTACCTACCTTCATTGTTTCCAGCTGAATGGAGATCAGCCAATATATCAGGCCTTACTGAATGTCGCATACCATTGTCCCCAATGTCTCTGATGTATAAAATAGCTCTTGTAGAAGGAAATCTGTTTGATTTTTTTTTTTTTTTTTACTGTACTGTCTTACAGCATTTTTTGCGTGCTTCTTTCTCTTTATTTGAATTGTTTAAATATGTCCATTCATTCAGTAACTAGGGAAATGATAAAGCAAAAGAAATACCGAAAATTTAGTCTTTTGTACTTCCTTGTAGACATATAGCTGAGCAGATTCCTCATCTATATTTTCTAGAATCAGCCGTATTTTCAAATTTACGGTCATTCTTATATTAAAAATGATGTCCGTGACGTCCGTCAAGCATGATTGTGACCTATCCAGAAATTTTATAGTAAATATCAGTATTTTTGGTGTAAAACTTGAGCAAAAAAATTAAGAAAATTGAGCCTAAGTTATTTATATTATAGCTGAAGCATTGGTTATACTTACTTTAATCTCTGGTTTAAGTAACACCGAACTCAAAGAGTAGTATGTCAGAAATAAAAAAGACAAATCGTCGGTACCATGCTTAAGTAACGAATGTTAACCTACCCAAACGTTTCACATTTATACTTTTGTATGTTGCCGAAGGAATGTTGTACTTAATTACTACAGTATCTCTGCTGTTTTTTTCTCTTTAGCTATGGAAATGATCCACAACCAAAGCCCAAAAGCCACCACTTATTTCATCTCGTGTATCCTTATAGTGCCTAAATAAACGAAACATTACCTTACTATTTATTTACTGCTATTTATGAAAAAGCCTTTTTTTTCTCAATAATATAGTAATCGTAGTTAAGTCTCAAAATAAAAAAAATAACTTTAAAATATTGAGTTAGAATTAGTAATATTCATTAACATCAAACTAAAATAAGCAATCTAGATTTTTAGGGAAATAGGCACCTGTGAGAAAATATTGAAGTTTTTATAAAAAAATTAGATTCACATCATTTATCATTTAGTAAAATTAATCCTATGTAAAGCAAAACCTGAGAGTTCTGATAATACTCTACCTAAAAGGTATTTCGTAACTGAAATAATCCTATATGTTATTTCTAAAAGGTGTTTTTTTTTGTCGGTACGCCATAACTTCGTCAATTCTTCATCAAATCCAATGATTGACCACTCATTTAGAAGATATTCTCCTCCTTTACATGCGAAAAATAGTCTCATCCCTCCGAAATTCCTAGGAAAAAAAATTATGGAGGAAATGAAACTTTATTTGCAAGAAACTCAAAAAGTATGCATTTTTTTTTTATTAATAATTAGAAATATTACTAAATTACCTACAAAATAAAAAATAATAAAAAATAAAAATCGAACAATTATTAACAAAGATACAGTCCATTAGTTTTGGTATACTTAATAATGTCTTTCTGTTTAAAGTTATTGCATTTAGTTATTTTAGCTGAAGTTATTGCATAGTCAATTTAGGAGTAGAATAGTCTACTAAATTTTTTTTTCTGGATTTTATATTAACTTTATTTTTTCTTAAAGACATTCGGTTGTTCCTAATTTTTTTTTTTTTTTTTTAATAAATACAAAATTCCCTATGATCGAGATACTATTTTGTCAGTATTACTTTTATTATCTTTGCAGTCAGAGTTTAGAAATGAGTTCTAGCAAAGCAATTTGTACAAACATTTTGGATTGTTATGCTTAATAGAATATTGTAATCGACTAAGGAAAAAATATTAATTCCTTCCTTAAATAATAAATAGGAACTACTTTTTTTCATATTTTTTTACTATTTATTCACTAAACAAAATTTTTTGCGAATTTTAGTATTGTGTAAGATATTCTATTGTTATGTTAAAAAATTAAAGTGGAAAAAAACAAATTTTATTTCAATAGATCTGCAAGTAGATGGATTAAAATTAATGTGAGTATGTCATTTATAATGAACTACTGAAAGATCAAAATTTCATATATTATAATTGTATGTATATTGGTTTGGAGGGTTGTAGGGTATAACCGTTGCCAATATTGGTCTACAGCACTAGCTCATCCAGGATTTAATTTTGGGGAGCCCGAAAGATTTTTATTTCACATAATATATATATATATATATATATATATATATATATATATATATATATATATATATATATAACTATAATTGTTTTGAAAAAAAGAAAGAAATTAACTACCTACATGAAATGGTGTTTGAGTGGTTCTTGAAGTCCTATTAAAATTAATTAAACGAACATGAATACTTTAAGAGATAGTTTTTAATACTTTTTTTCTGTAAATATGGTTTCTTTCTTCTTTTTTTTCAAATTAATTATAGTTATATATATATATATATATATAACTTATATACTTATATATATATATATATATATATATATATATATATATATATATATATATATAACTTATATAGTTATATATAAATATATATATATATGTATATATGTGTGTGTGTGTGTGTGTGTGTGAAATAGAAATCTTTCGGGTCCCCCAAAATTAAATTCTGGATGAGCTAGTGCTGTAGACCAATATTGGCAACGGTGATAAAATTCATTTGCCCTCCAAACCAATATACATACGATTATAATATATGAAATTTCGGTCTTTGAGTAGGTCATTATAAATGACATACTCACATTAATTTTAATCCATCTACTTGCAGATTTATTGAAATAACATTTGTTTTTTCCACTTTAATTTTTTAACATAACAATAGAATATCTTACACAAATAGTAACAATTCATACTAGCTGGCTCGTGCGAAAAATTCGCAGAAAATTATGTTTAGTGAAGAAATAGTAAAACAAAATGAAAAAAAGTAGTTTACCATTTTTGGGGAGCTTCAGCCCGAAAGCCCTCTCCCTCCCTCGTAGATCCGCCTGTGCTCTACAGCAATCTACATTTTTTTATTGAATGACTTCTTATATTTTTTATGCGCATCGCTACTGAATAGAAACTCGTCCGTTAAATGAATTCTACCACAATGGAATTGCAAAAGAGATTCCATAAGTAAGTAATGCACTTCCCAACGACTAAAATACGTATTTATATCTATATTACTAAAGTTCTGATAGCCGTCGTAGATCCTTTCAAAAGAATAAAAAAAAAACTTAGATAAGAAACTCTTGCGACAGAAGACTTTTACAGGCCAGAAGAAAGGAAGTGGCGGAGATGTCAAGCGGCTGCTTCAATATCACACCTCACGGCTCGGCCTCTGATAAGGTCCAAAAGGAATTTTATGTTTGGCGCATGGTATAGACACCTCCGGGATATATAGCTATAGTTCCGTGAGAAAATACCAGCGACACCCGAAGGTGACTGGCAAACAGTGCTCCAAGCCATCGTGCGTGTTTGTTTTACTAAACAAACCACCGCTGACCTCACACACCATTCATCACTCTATTACAGCCAACGAGGCCTTCGTTTATTTTTGAGTATCGTTAACGCCGACGGTGACGAACACGCGAGCACAGCTCCGGAGGAACCAATAGCCATAAAATATATAACAGCCTGTGGTACGCGAACAACAAGCTTCCAGGCTTGCCTCCCCGTAACTTATGGAACCACTGGCAAGCGGCCTACAAGGGAGAATATGGCTGGTGGCTTTTAGAGCGGCTATAGGTCTATTCATAATTCGATTATATAAGTGTTTCAGTATATTAAATCTTTTAGAAGAACAATATATATATATATATATATATATATATATATAAAGTTATATACATAAAAGATAAGTTAAGTATTCACTTTTTTATAACAAACAGAAAAATAATGTCAAATAATTTCAACAAGTTTAATGATGAATAAGTAAGTCTTCATCAAAAGGTATCATAAATTAATTTATATGTAAGCTCGAACTGGAAGCTCATCAGATGGAATGACCGACACATTATAAAATTTATTGGAAAAATCGTATAACTGTGAGTAATACGGATTTAATCTGTTCGAGGTTATAGTATAATATAAGCAAAATTTGAATATATAGAAGAATTTTACACTGATACAATCAATTTTAAAAATTGTGTAATTTATATAAGAATATGTAATTTTAATTATTTTCTCTCTCCTATAAAATTGTTTGATTTGCAGTTGCGCTATTGTTCCACCAGACTTGTGATGTTATTACTTAAAGCTGTAGCTTAAATCTTAGATTTAGATTCTATTCTATATTGAATATCTACCTTAGGAATAAACATTAACCGAACTCGAATGCTTTATCTCTGCTCCGCCCAGAACTTTCATAATCTGAATCCTTTCAAAACCCAAGTTGAGATTCATATTTTGTAACTCGAAAAACCCTTAGATACGAATTTTCATACGCACCGAAATAAGTCAGAAAACAATAATCTTAAAAAAATAAGTTAAACCTTCAGTTAAAAAGAAGAGAAGAAATAATACTGACAAGGCTCCTAATTGGCCACTCACGGCTAACTCATGAGCACCTGATGAGAAAGGGGACGCCCCCTCAGTGTCTCTGCTGCAGGGTCAATTTAACAATCAGGCGCGTTTTGACTGAACGTTGTGGATATGAAAATCAACGTAATGAAGTTGAATTGGAGAACGATATAACTGAAATTCTAAAAAACACTACCAAATTGGCAAAAAAAGTCTTTACATTTCTTCAAATAACGCACCTTTACAATAAAATTTAAAATTTTCTGACTCTTTTTTTGTTTTAAATATTTTATGCTTTCAATTCATTGTTAAATTTAATTTCATCTGATGTAAAATAAATATTTTGTAAGGGCTAAAATGACCCGTAAGAGGTTGAGGAGCGCCCGCCATTGTTGTAAATAAATAAAAATATAAAATCTAATAAATTTTTTCTCAGGTCTAAGAGTGCATTGGTAAAACCCTTGGACATGGGTCTAATATTTTTCTACCTAGTATCACCAACAAGAAATGTATTGGGATTTGTGACTCTATAAATGTATACATTTATATAGGACGTTCGTACTATATAAATGTATACATTTTTCGGCTTGTTTTAAATCTCAATTAAGTATTTAATTGAATGTTTGCAGTAGC